ACGAGAGGGAGATATTAAAACGAAAAAAGAAGACCACAGTTAACTTCCACTAGCTCTCCAGCTTCTTAAACCCACGATCTTCCTTAAAATAAAAATAATACATTTTGTAGTTCTCCAAACGTGCCCTCAGACCGACACCACACACACACACACACACACACACACACACACACACACACACACACACACAAACACAAACACACCACCTAAAAGCTCTGGCTACCCCTAGACAAGCAAATTGCGGAGAACTGCGAGGTTCAGGCAATGATTCGCAAAAGCTATTTCAGCCGCGGATCCTTGAATATCACCGGTCTGGGCTGGGGCAGCTCACACTCCCATGGCCCCATTCCCTTGGGCTTCTCAGTAATGACCCGAGGAGTCACAAACTGGCAGTGAAGACCCAGGCGCCGGCACAGGGTTTGGGGAACGTGCGCCACCCCACGACCGGGCTGGGATTCCTTTCTAAATCCCCCTGAGCAGGCTGCCGACTTTGTCACTGCGCGGCTCACCCGTTAGTGGCCTTCAGTGCCACCAAGAACGTGGCCTCTTGATGTCCCATGGAGACCTAGAACACGGATCTCTGGCGGGGATCCCTGATGTGCTCGGCGCCACACTCGCACCCAGTGCCGGGTGGATGAACCCGCGACTGAGGCCGAAGAAGCCACTCTTGGCAGGATGGCATTTGAATCTGTACTTCCCCTGCCAAGTGAGAAAAGCCTAGTCCCCAGACCGAATAATGCCCCCCACCCACCCCGAGTGGCGCCCAGGGCCTGCCTTTAGGGGTTAGGAGACACAGGAGAGCAACAGCCCTGGTTGTAATAGGAAGGACCCTGGATTTGCCAGAGGCAAGAATGCACAGAAGCACGGCCCCACTGGACTGCTGTGCTCCTCCGGCAGGTCAGGACCTTTGGGCCTTCCCGAAAGCCCTGAATACCCTGGTCTGAACCTGTCCCGCTCCCTGCTTCCTTTGGGGGGAGAAAGGTAGGTCTGAGCAAGAGACCAGTCGTGAATTTAGTCTTAGGGCCTTACTCCTAATTCCAATAGCCTGAGGACCGAACCAGGTCCTGGGAGCCAGCTCCTCGCCATCCTGCCCAGCTCGCAGCTGCGGAAGGGTCAGGAGCTCAACGCTAAGCTACAATCTTGGGTGGAACCACTCTAGGTGAACTTGGACAGCGACCTCAGAAGGACGGAGCACACCGAGAAAACACACACCTGGAGTTAGGATTCTTAACTGCCAGTCTTCAAGTTCTTGGCCTCGAAGATTTGCTAGTCCCACAACATGTACTCCCTCCACATGAGGGGTTTGGGGAGAATTGGTTTCTTGGCATTCTTTGGTCCTTGTTATGTGTGCTTAAGGTATACAATGGCTGCAGCCTAAACACCTGCGATCTCTTACAAACAATTTTAAGAGGGATTTCAGTCGTTTCTCCTTTCGCATCCAGCGGGAGAGAGCCCTGAAGCATTGAGGTTATTCGTCTCCAAAGTGTGCAACAAGAGGTTTGCAAAACCTGTTAAAGACCTGCGCCCATATCCTGGGGAGGTTCCCCTTGCAAACAGAAAAGGACAGCCCATTTTTCGCCCCTTCCTTTTAGGGCTTTGTGAACCTCGGGTCTGTCTTAGAGCCTAGGAAACATCCCTTTGACCTTAGAGATTCATCTGGGACTATGCAAGGAGAAAATCAGCCAAAGAAAGGCAGGCGGTGAGCGGGGGTCCTACGTGGAAGCTGGGGTTGCTCTGACCCGCATCCAGAGCAGGTAAATCCTTGTGTGCCGGGCCTCAGGGCTCTGGCACACCCGGTCTAAAGACCGCCACGTGCTCAGGGCTGCTGTGCCCCAACTCTGCTTTTAGGGGCGGTTTGTGCGCGCATGCACTGTCACACAGCGCGTGCTTCTCGGTCCCAGCGCCTGAGGCCCTTCTAAGGCTGTCCTGATGGAGGTCCCGCAGAGCACCAACGCTCGACCTTCCGCTGGCGTCAGACCCGAGGTCGCCCTGGCCTGAGAGGCCGGGGAGGCGTGAGGTCATCCAGGACCTAGCAATGGACAGCATCTTCCCGCCTCTGGCTTCCCCCGGGCCAGTCAGGCCCGCCACTTGTCAACCCTAGCTCACTCGGCTCCCCTCACCCCCCAGCAGCTACAAGACAACTCCCGGCCAGGCCGACCTGAGCCCCCGCCCTGTCAGTGCCCGAGTGCGCGGGTCGGAGCGGCCCGGGCTCACCGGCGCCTCCAGGTAGGAACGGCACCGGCGCACTTTTCCAGCCTCAGCCCTTCACCTCCCCCTCCCAGACGCACCCTACGGAGAGAGGACCCGCGGGTGTTTGGGGTAACTGTTGTTCTTTTAAAAGTATATTAAAGGATCATTGGCGTCTCCCGGTTAAGTCATTACGCCTTTATCCCCATCAATTAAGCACACCTCAGAGGACTGCTATTAAGAGCTAAATTGAGCTGCAAAAGTAGGTATCCCGTTTCAGGCAGATGTTGTTATCTCCCGCTGAGGCGCGGCCGGCCGGGCTCTACCTCCGCTTCCCGCTCCCGCCCCAGCGAGGCTGGACCCGGCTTTCTGCGCGCGGCGAGGAGTCTGAGCCGAGGTCGCAGCCTAAACAATGCGCTGATGCTAAGAATGGACCCTTGCCCGTCTCAAGCGCTGAGCACGTCCGTAGGAAGTGTCTTCCAGAGTTCAGGGGGGAAGACGCCAAGAGCTAGCTGAGCGTTTTTGCTCAGAGAGGTGGATCTGTTCACAGCTGCCTCCCAGCTGGGGTTGCTAAAGGCGAGGCTGCGATGAACAGGACACACTATCGAGGTGTGCCTGGCCGTCTGCTACCGCATGCCCCTCTTCCCCCTCCAACCTCCTTCCTGGCTAGCAGACTCCCAGAAACCCAGAACTCCTTGTGGATCAAGGGGCGGTGCGGGGGAGGTTGGGAATTTGGGGCTACAGAACCCCGAACAGGAAGTGCACTTAAGACAATGGAGACTGACTTGGGACTCACGCGGCCTTCCAGCCAAAAGTGTCTTTCCACCCTTTTTCACTCCAGATACTCGAGGCACCACCGTCTCCCACAGCTGGGAGACCTTGGAGCGCTAAGGAAAGAAACAAAGGGACACGGCCCTTACTGCAGTCACAGGGTTTTCTTCGTGACACTATCCACAATAAATTAAGCCAAGGCTAAAAGAGATTAATTTCCCAACATAATCCAATTAAAAGATTTTTAAACTAATCTTTTACGGAAAAGAAAATAACCTAGAAAGTGTGCTGTTAAACGAGGGTCTGGCTTGGACGACAGTGATTTATCACCTGTACACTGAATTCAAGCAGGGAACGCCTGTCCCTTCTACCCGCAATTTGAGCGGAGCACCCTGGCTGGCGTCTGTAGTTCAACCTGTGCCTTCCAGAAAGCCAGCTACCACACTAACCTGGGCCTGACTGAAAATGAAGGGACTGCGTTGCTTACAAGCACCATAGACTTTTTAAAGTGCTGTTAGATTTATGGTCTCTTTGTCGACGCCCATCTAGAGTAATTAGCACATATGTTCTAAATAGATGATAGTTTTGTGAGCAATAAAGCAATTACCCATCGTTGGAGCTGACAGTTCCTCCGACTAAACTCCAACCAGCAGCTAATTGGAAAAGGCATTTCGGCTACACTGTCTGCAATTAGTCCTGCTAAACTACTACACCCCAACTTGCTGGTTTGAGGTTAATTTATTCAGTGTTAAATTTGCATGGACAAGCCTTTGCCACAAAGGGACTTGCCTTTTGCCCCCTCTGGACTGCACTCAGGAACTGAAGGAGCCGGTGGGAGTAAACTGCTGATACTTGGGGACCAAGATGACTCCTGGACTAATGTAGGGGGTGCCCCATCCAGTTTGAGGTCAAGGTCAGTGTCCATCAGGCTGAATACCTACAGAGGAAACCATTGTTTCTTCCGCTGAGCAGTAACCAGAGGAAGCCGTCAGTTTGTGCTACCAAAGCCTCCATTAATTTTTTAAATCAAAATACGAGGGAAGCAATGAGCTCTGAATTATGGCCCTCCTCACATCCACTCAGGACCACCCTACTGTCCCTAAGAGATAAATGTGAATCGATTAACACCCACCCAAGCAGCGCTCTGAGTCCTCATCTGGAGGAAGCAGCCTCCAATTCCCAAAGTGGCTCCAGGAAAGAAAAGGCTAGAAAGGTCAGGAAGCCTGGCTTCTGCCTGCTTAGGCTCCGAGCGTAAAGACACTTCCCCCTTGAAAATGGGATTTCTCTCTAACTTTTAACTTGCTTTTCTTTGTTGTTTCCCTTTCCTCTCTCTTTTTTTCTTTCTGAATCTTTTTTTTTCCTTCCTTCTTTCCTAAAGTTAAACCCAATCCGTCCAGGATGTGTGTACATTGAGTGGAAACAATGTGTTAAACGTTGGTTTGACGCCCCGCCGGAGCTTCCAAGTACCCACTGCTAAGATTCTTCTACTTCATTTAATCTTTAGTGGACAGGGTTGCCCCTGTGCTCCTATTCACCAGGAAACCCGAGGAAATATATCAGTTGGGGTTCGAAATCCTGGGAGGGAAAAAAGAGTTAAAGAGAGATTAATCTGCCCCCACCCAGCTTCTGACTGCAAGCTCAGCAGGCTGGGAGTAGAAGGGCAGCTGGAGCTCCCAGCCTCTGCAGCCAAGGGTATCTGTATCAGGGAGCAGAGAGACTGGCAGGTTGACATGAGAACTTGTAGCCCTGGTAACGGAGTATTCCCCTAGAGGAATTTATAGCAGTGTCCCAGGCTTAGAATTCTGCTTAGAAGAACATGGAGGGAGGTGCTTCCTACGGAGGGAAAGCCCGCTTGGTTTGTTTTCAGTCCTAGAAATCACATGTCCTTTTCTGGATGGCTATCGTATTTCTTTTCGAAACAAATGTGGCAAACCCAGAGGGCGATGCATTGAGTTCTGTTTTAGTCAGTCTGAGTCTTATTAAGATAATTCCAATTTTAAAATAATTTGTAATAAATTATCAGCTTCAAGGAGTCAAGGATATAAATACAAAAGAAGAAAAACTTTTAGTGAACTTTATCTTGGGCTCTTATTTCCCACTTATTTATTGTGGTTTTTTTCCTAACTGAATTTGAAACAAGAGAGATTGAAGGTGAAGGGCTTGTTCCCAGTCTGTCCCGCCTGTCATGTCATCTCCACATTCTGAGGAAACACTCTTCCATCAGGTGATGTCTAGTTGAGAACAGAAAGGAAATAAGATGTCTTTCCTAAAAAACTAACAATTGAGTTCTCATTTATGTTTTTAGAATACTTAAATGTGGCCAGAAAGTGAGGACAAGAAAAAGCTTAAGGGAGAGCCAGTTAAATGTATCACCCGATGTAGTGGAGAATTAAAATGTAAACAAAGCTTAACAGAATCTACCCAATCCCTTCAGTGTATGAGACATACACACATACATCCAGTGCCCCCCCCCAACGCCCTAAGCTCGTGTGTGCAGGGATGCAGCCCTGTGCAAGCTCAGCTGGCTGTCGGCAGGCATGCATTCACTTCTGGAGCAAAGGCATTCTTGCTGCAGGCATGCATTCACTTCTGGAGCAAAGGCATTTTTGTTGCTCCCATAGTTTCTTTCCATTAAGAGCGATTAGATGATGTCTATTCAAAGTTGCTGATCCAGAGAGAAAATAAGAGTAGATAAAAGGAGATTTCGAGTGACCTCCTCATCCCTTTCACACCAACCTGAGCCCTAGAATAGCCTAGGATCAGCCAGCACAAAAGCTCTTTACTTTCTCCTTTCAGCTTCAGAAGATTTCATGCAAGGGGTTAACAATAAAACATAGAACTGCCCTGAAGTTCTGTTAGGTCATGCATTTGGAATACTTTATTAACTCCTCCTGTGGATGAGCGACATAGATTTTCCACCTCTGATGTGGGAAAATAAAATATACATATCCTAACATAGGGCATACTTATTTGCTGCTCTGTATGGTTCATATCAGAGATGTACTGCATTCACCCTTTTTCATTTAAACTTTGCCTGCACCCTTATCCCCTCAAATATGGAGAATACTGCAATAAACATGTCTTTCCACTGACAGTTTGGAAGAAATTATTAGGTTTACTATTTTGATCATTTTTGGGGTAGGTAAATACAATTGTAATATGACTGCAGTTACTAGATTTGCTGGGCTTTTCCCCAATCACTAGTCTATATCATAGTCAGTGATGGAAATGGCATTAGAGACTTAAACATAGTCAAGCAGTCTTTAGTCAGTGAAATGTCCGACTCAGCTCTACATCTGATGAGCTAATCCTGTAGTAAAAAGAAATAGGTGCTCTGACAGGTAACTATTAAGGGAAATGATTATATAGTACAGTTGATTGTATTGTCAAGATAGTCTAACAACCTTCAAACTCATTTCAAAACTTCAACTTTTCATCTAAACCAGCCCATTTTCTCTGAGAAGAATAGCCATACAGTTATTCTTCAGCCAAGTTGGGCATTTAAAAACAAAAGAAAGTGTATTGTAACATAAAGGCAACCTTCTTTCTTTCTTTCTTTCTTGCAATATCTCTTAGACTAGATGAGGGTTTTATACAGCGCAAGTATTTGGCTCTGGCTTCACTGATGTACTACAAATGACTGTCACTTTTCCTCTTGCTTTGCATCTAAGTGTCAGCTCTTGCTTTGCTCTCCTGCTATCTCCCCACCCCAAGGTTCTTAAGCCTGGGTTCTCCAACTGGGAGCTTAGGCACACTGGGGTATCTCTCTTATCTCTCCCAGAACATGTTTTATAAATGTCTTTGTTTGACATAGGAACCTAAACCACTTAAAAAGTTCTTATCTCTGAGCTTTTTAACTCAAAGATGACAAAGAAGAAATGCCTGAGCTACCAGAGTGGCATTCGCTATGGAAGCCTACTAGTTCCAAGGTGCATTGAGCCCTGTGGGCAGGCCATGTTCATCTACTCGGGTCCACAGAAGCCTACATCCTAGCCTGGACATCCCACCTTGGCTTTCATGTTGACAGAGACTTTTTTTTTAACAGTTGGGCAGTTATAATGCAGGCTGTGGTCAGTCTTGGGAATGGGGGAGAGATTTCTGATCTAGCTGGAACATATTTATTTATTTATTTAGCTTTAGTAACCTGAAAACATTGGGTGGGCATCCCTGTACCTCTCCCCATTGTTTCCCTCCTCCCAAAAGATCTGTTTAATATCATGTTAAGTAATCTTTCTAGAACTGTATTCTCCCTGACTTTAATCTCATGCCAAGGGTGACTACTTGGTTTGGTAACTTTAGAACAAGTTCTTTGGGGAAAGTCTACATCAAGATGAGAGGAACTGGCCTTTCTCAAAGGGTTTGCAAGCATGTTCATCACTCCACATGAGCTTAGTAACCGGGTTACGTCTGTCTTGTGGTTTCTCTAAACAGAATAATGCTGTTTTAATGATTTAAGGGTAGGAAAGTGGAGTACAAAAGAATTTTCTATACATGTGTGGCCATGTGTAGGTCTCATTGCCTCTTGAGCTAAATTTATGAAATGTCTCTACAAAGTTCCTTTTTTTTCAGTGTGACTTAACAAAAACTTAAAATGTATGTGATCTGGTGTTTTTCTGGAGAGCAAACTGCCAGTATGAGAGAGGCCAAAGGACTAGAGAAGATTTTAGGTTGGCCTAGTTCCTATTTGGAAAAAAAAGAAAAAAAGCTATGAAGGTTATGTAAATGGGGTAAGGAGAGCACTTAGACTCGGGCTTTGGGGCTTCGGTCTTCAGTTCTCACTCTATGGGCAGCCACAAACTCTGCACACATGCACACACACACACACGAACACACACACACACACACACACACACACCAGATATCTGGCTGGGAAATCAAGGCTTTTTAAAAAGTGATTAACACACAACCATGACACTAGAAGCACATAAGGGATATAGTAAATTCACAGCTTAATCCCTCAGCCCAAACAGAGGGCACCTTCTCCTTTAATCTAGGTGGAATCGCACTGTGTGGAACTAAGAGTAGAAGAAAATTGCAAAAAGAAGCCTATGGATGAGGCCTTCCCGCAAGGCCTTTAGGGTCTCCAGACTTGTCTAACCAGGAGTGAGCGGCCCTGGAGAAAGTGAAGCACCATGTCCCTGCCCTAGACGCCAAGACAAGACCCTTAGAGGGCTGAGGTAAGGTATCACAGCTGCTTTTTTTTTTTTAAATTCTAGCTGATGAGCATGCCTGGATACGTGTGTGGAATTTCACAGTTTGAGGACTCCAGTGCCCTTGAATAAACATGGGCACAGGAGATACGACGACCAGGGACAACTATGGCAAGTTAGACTGGTGTCAAACCACGACTTTTAGAAACAAAGCCAGAACTTCCCAAGGCCTGGGCTGACCAGCCGGGCCTTTACGGAAGCCATTTTGGTGGAGGCAGTACTGTGAGCTTGAGCACAAGTGGGCTCTGTGTGTGTGAGGCTGCTCTGATGGCATTGAGTCCTCGGTGCTGCTGGAGTAGACTGAGTCCCATAGGAGGTGAAGACCGTCCTCAAAAAGTCTCTGCTTCTTGCTAACTAACTCCTCTCAAGAGACTGGGGACACTTGACTCAAAAGAACACACAAGTATGCCCTCTTCCCGAAAGCTTGGGGCTTCCCCCTCCTATGGGTACCACTAACACACAGCCTCCCATGCCTGCTCCTAGAGCTAAGGCTGAAAATTGCGATCTCACTCTGGAGGAGCTGACTGCTTCACCTAAGGCCTGGAGAGACCGATCTCCTCCACTCTGGGGGTCACTCTGGGTCCCAGAGGCCTTTTTGCGGGTTTGGAAGCTTGGGGCGGGGAGGGAACACGGGAAGGAGAGGCCACCGTGAGGATGGGTGGGCGGCATCTCTCCCACTGAGTCTCTGCTCATCCTTCAGCTTTGTAGCAGGACTTGACCCCCCCCCCACTAGCCCTTGCAAGCAGGGTTGATTCATTCAAGAGCCCACCCAGCCCCCGGGCGCGGTCCCGAGTGTCAGCTCCCCACCCCCACCCGGGCCCAGCGAGCCCGCCCTGCGCGCCCTCTGACGCAAACGCGCGCCCCTGCCCGGCGCAGGGTGGGTAGGGGGGAGCGCTCCTGTTGGTTTTAATTGAAGCTCTTCCTTTCACTCGCACAACCTCGGTCCCCACTCCTGGGAGGAGAACCCCCTCCCCGCCCCCAGCCCGCCTAGCCCAGCGTGCGGAGTCTGCCTTCACCACCTCGCTGCTCTCCCGCGGCCTCCTCCGGTTCTCTGCTTGGGAGAACCGCTGATGTCCCCTTTAATCCGCTGACACTGTCGCCCACATCAAACGGGCAGCCATCGATTGCCTTACTTTACTGGCGGCGACCGCATGCCTGCGGCTGAGCGCGGCTCCCGAGGTCCAGGCTGCAGGCGGCTAGGCACAGGTGCCCAGGCCAGCGGGCTCCACCGCTGCTCCCGCTCCGCTCGCCGCGGGCTGGCCGCGAGGCAGTCTCGGGTCCCCTGCCCACACACCCTTTCTCGCCCCGGTTGGGGAGGCTAGTGTGGGGAATCTGTTTTGGATTTGGATTTGGCAGGGACCCTCACCTCTAAGGACGGGGAAATGATAGCTCCCCACCAGGCCCAAGCGAAAGTTCTCCAGGGCCGCCTCGACTTCATTTCTAGGCTGCGGAGGCCGAGCGAAGATTGGCCTTTCTGCCCAATCCCTTTATCGAAGGTTACAGACCCCCAAGTTCCAAAGAAACCATTATTGTTGCGTTACTTGCCTGATAGGGCAGGGTTTGGCCGAGTCTTGCTTCTGGTGCCCACCGTGTGCGGTCCAGTGTCCGAGGGTGGCGGGACGGGTGGACCCAGCATCCCACAGGCCTCCGGTGCCCGGACGCTGGTTTTTCGCTTTCTCTCCCACTCTTTTGCGATGCTTCCCTCCCCCCAGCCTCCCCTTTTTTCTGCTCCGTTCAGCTGTTCACGACTCGTCTCTGATTGTTTGGGGAGTAAATTTTAGAATTTCTATATAAACAGCGCTCTCTCGCTTGCTCGCTCTCTTCCTTTCTTCCTTTTTTTTTTGTCTTTTGTGGTGGGGGTATTTTTTAATCATATCAATTTCACTTTTAGACTAACCGAGAGACTTGATCACGAATATTAGGGCTGAGGGTCTAAGGCCAGGAGTCCCTGTTACCCCTGCCTGTCTCTCCATCAGCTTCATACAAAGGGCCTCGGCACACAGGGTATAGTCTCCATTATTCCAGATAGAAGGGCTGTGGGACACGCATAGCAAAGTCTTTATTCTGCTCTAAAAAAAATCACTGGCCACTAAGCGGTGGGTTCCAGAGACCAAGAAGCATAAAGCGTACCCCAAATACACAGCGCTTTCCAAAGCCCTCCCTGGTGAGATTAAAAGTGGGAATCAGTATTAAAATCCAAACCCTACCTCTTCAGTACAGCCTGGCCGTTTACTTTCACCTTTACCTGGGGGCGCTCGGAACGCTTGAGCGAGACAAACTTTTACGCTCTCCCGAGGCGAGGGGTGGGCTGGCAAGAGGGACTCCCACTCCGGGCGGTGACAGCCACGGCTTTGTCACTGTACCTCTCTGCGCCCGCCTGAGCCTGCCTAGGGGAGCGATCTTAAAGCCAGGGGGGTGCAAGTGTGGGATTGGAGAATATGTAACTAATAGAAGTATCGTTTTCGGCTTCCCCCAGTGCGATCTTTCAAGGAAAAAAAAATCCATTGAAAGAATTTTCCAAGTGCTGTCTTCATTTGGAGAAAAGGCACTGGCTGCCTGTGGGGAGGGGAGGAGGGACTCGGCAGCTTGCCGCCTGGGACCGGCTCCCGTCCGCTAGGTGGCAGCCGGACCTAGCGATTCCTGCAAGCCCCGCGGCGGGATCCGCTCCTCCAGCCTGCCCCGCCTTCTGCGACCAATCACCTTCGGGAATGGGGTCTCGGCACCACCCCCCAAACACACACACACACACACACACACACACACACACATACACACACACACGACTCTGACTCCCTCCTCCTCCTCCTCCTCCTCTTCCCTTTGCCCCTCTGTCTCTTCCCCGTCTTCCCGTTCCTTCCTTTGCTCTTTTCCTGTGACTCTGAGTTGTGGGCACTAACAGCGGCCCCACGACAATACGAGGACTTACTAATGCTTTATTGATAATTATTGAAGCATTGTTTGGAGTTGGAACATCGTGGGGATAAAAATGATGAAGAAGAAAAAACTGGATTGATTGGAAAATGCATTTTAAGATTATCTTTGAGATGAATAGGAACCATCGATTCGGATCGAATTTGTGGCAGGCAGTAGCTGCAATTTTATGAGTGTGCTTTGTCGTAATTATGCCTCCGAAACTATGATATACTTCAGGTTTTTTAAATGAGGAGTTTTTTTAAATAATACAAAATTAGCAGGATCCAGATTCTGGATTATGTTGAATGTGAACGAAGATTCTAGACCCAGTATACTTCACAAATCTTTAAAATGGTGATTTCATTCTCATCATTTTTTTCCCTACCGTTTTCAGTGACAATCTTTACGCTCATCAAATCTTATTTTAAAAACTTTTCAGAAGACATAAAATAATTTCTTTCTCATTCTCGTTTTCTTTTCCTATCGCAAGGCGTTCTCTCCCTCTTCATCTCTTCCCGAGTGTGTGTGTGTGTGTGTGTGTGACCATACACGACCCATACTAATCAGGTCTCAGAGTAAATAGCAGCGCAGGGCGATCTCAATGTAAATTGCGCTTGTCAGAAGCACACACACACACACACACACACACACACACACACACACACACACACACTTTCTCTCCTCCCCTCCACATCCCAGACTGTAGGTAGCTAAGGGGGGAGGGGGAAGGCCTTTCCAACCAATGGCGTGCAGGAGGCTTGGCTAACCTTCGCCTCCCATTTTCTCCCCCCCCCCCCCAATTCAGGGCTCTGACCAGTCAGTCGCCTTTGATTATCAGTTGCCAGCAGCCCTTCTCTTGGCTCCTTGACACGAGCTCCATATAAGGCAGCGATCTCCATAGAAACGTGTCAGTTTCAATAGTAGTGTCAAAGTTCACTATATACAGACATTCGCGCAGATCCCCCTTTCGGAAACATTGCTCTGAGTGTCCTCCCGTTTAAACGCATTCAATTTTTTGGTTCCTCTCCTCCTCTCCTCTCCTCTCCTCTCCTCTCCTCTCCTCTCCTCTCCTCTCCTCTCCTCTCCTCTCCTTCTCTCCTGTCCTCTCCTCTGCGCTTTCTCCCTCCTCTCTCTTACCCACTCTCTTGCCCTGTCTCCCCCTTTCTTTTTCTTACATAGTCTACTAGTTGTCCCCCTTTCTCTTTCTCTCCCTCCTCCTTTTCCCTTTCACTCCTTGCCTGCAGAAGAGAGACTAAACTTGAAAAAAAAGGAAGAGGCACCCCCTGCGTATTCTTCTTATCGTTATTTTATACATATATGATTTTTTTTTGGAGGGAGGGTGTTGGTTCCCGGCTGAAGAGCACTTATTTAAAATACTAAAAAAAGCACATTTTTGGGCGATCTCCAGGGTTTTTTTAACTAGCTCTGTGTGTTATAGCAGAAGAAGCAGAAGAAGCAAGAAAGAGGAAAAGAAGAGGCTTATTTATTCGACCTACTTTGGATGTCTCTCCTGCTTTCTCTTTTTCCTTTTTTTTCCTCAAGTATTTTCTTCTGATTTTTATTTTTTTTCTATTGCGCTGTGAATTCGTCGCCGGCGTGAATTATCTCGTGTTTTTCTCCCCCTTCCGTCACCTCCCGAAAGAAGAAGGCAAAGAGAACCGGCGCCACCCGCACAACAAAAAGAGCAAAGTGTGTGATCTTCCTTGCCGGCGGCCTCCCGCTCTCCAGCGCTGCCTTCCTGAATGGCTGGCTGCGTCCGGCCCTGGACCTGGCCCCCCGACACCCGAGCGCCCTGATCGTCGCCGGCATCTTCGCTCCGCATCCTGCTCGGCTCTCCCCGCTCCCCGCACTCTTGAAGCCGGGCGAGGGCTCCCGCCGGGACAGCGGCGGCGGCGCGGGCAGCCCGGGCCTCGGCTCTCGCTTGGGCTGCGGCCCCGACTCCAGCCCGGGCCCCAGCTCCTCCAGCGGCGCTCGCAGCGGCAGCAGCCGAGGCGGCTCCTCCAGCGGCGCCGGCAGCCGCGACCTCCTCCTCTGCCTCTGCCTCTGCCGCCGCCGCCGCCGCCGCCCTCGCCGCTTCCTCTATGTCGGCTCAGCCCGCGCGCTGCGCGTAGCCCGAGCGGCCGGCGGGCGGGCGGGCGGGCGCCCGGCGCGGGTGAGCGAGTGTGTGTGCGAGTGTGTGTGCGCGGGGGTGCGGGCGAGGCGGAGGGCGAGTGTGTGCGCGCGCCGTGGCCCATGCCCGCCGCCCCCGGCGCTGCGCCCCGCGCCGCTCCCGGCTGCCGCCTGTGCCATTTCTGATCTTGCAACTTGGGGAAGAAGAAAAAAGCGAGAGAACGGAGCTCGCTCGCCGGGGGGTGGGGAGGGGGGAGAGAGCGCTGCCCCCCCAGGAACGGAGCGCGGGGGGAGCGGGCGAGGGGAGCAGGGGTGTTGGGGGGGGAGCCTGAGAGCCTGGGGGGGCTGCAAAAAGAGAGAAAGAAAACAGCAGGAGCCACAACAAAACGCCAGCAGGGCGGGCGGGCGCGCAGCAGCAGCGGGGCGGCCGAGGCAGTAACGGCGGCGGCAGCGGCGGCGGCGCAGGCAGAGGCCGGTGCCCGGCTCGGGCTCGGCTCCGGCGACCCCGGGGCGCCCGGTGGGCCCCCCGCCCCTCCCCTTCCCCCCTTCCCCTTCCCCTTCCCCTCCTAGCGCGCCCTCGCGCCCCGTGGCCCTCGGCGAGCAGCTCGGCTCCCCCCAGCGCTCCCCGGGCCCAAAGATATGGCAATGGTAGTTAGCAGCTGGCGAGATCCGCAGGACGACGTGGCCGGGGGCAACCCCGGCGGCCCCAACCCCGCAGCGCAGGCAGCCCGCGGCGGCGGCGGTGGCGAGCAGCAGCAGGCGGGCTCCGGCGCGCCGCACACGCCGCAGACCCCGGGCCAGCCCGGAGCGCCCGCCACCCCCGGCACGGCGGGGGACAAGGGCCAGGGCCCGCCCGGTTCGGGCCAGAGCCAGCAGCACATCGAGTGCGTGGTGTGCGGGGACAAGTCGAGCGGCAAGCACTACGGCCAATTCACCTGCGAGGGCTGCAAAAGTTTCTTCAAGAGGAGCGTCCGCAGGAACTTAACTTACACATGCCGTGCCAACAGGAACTGTCCCATCGACCAGCACCACCGCAACCAGTGCCAATACTGCCGCCTCAAGAAGTGCCTCAAAGTGGGCATGAGGCGGGAAGGTGAATATTTCTTCTCTGCTTCTCTCCCTGCGCTTCGCCCGCCTCCCTGCTCTCTTTCTTTCTCCCTCGTCCGGGTGGTTTAAGGCTGTGGGGATGGGGCTCCTGTGGTCCCAGCCGGTCCGGGCTTCCCAATCCTTGCTGCCTTCCTCCCCCAGCGTCCCCCCCCCCTCCAGCTCGCTGCCGCTGCCTCCCCCTCCCGGCCTGCGCTCCTCTCCCCGGCTCCTCCACCCCTCCCGCTGCCTGCTCAGGATTGTGTCCCTGGGATCTCGAGCTGTGGCTTAAAAATCCCCTCCCTTCCTCTGTTGGATGTGCTCCGTGTGTGTCTCGCTCCTGCCTGTGTGTGAGGATGCTTGGGGCTCTGTTGGCATGAACTTGGGCAGGGGTGCTTATT